TAACCATTTGAAGGATCAATCATCCTAAATAATCGAAGAATTGTTACATCAAATTACCTTTGGCTCATAAAGAACTAGTTTTTTAATCACAGAAACAATGTTTACCATTAATAAGCTCCAATCGGAATGTTCGACACAGATGTGTAGAAAGCTGGTTAAATAAAAAAATTCGATCGTTAATTCCGCAACGGGCGTAGATTAAATCTCCTCTGTGAGAATTTCTAAAGATTGGAAGAGACACGAGCGTTACCGTTAATTACTTTCTTAACTGTCGGCAGCTCGAACGGAAAAAGGAACAGTGGAAAACGTACGCGGCGCTCACAATTAATTTGTCGATCGAAACTGTTAATGAAATATTTTGTATCGCTCCAGTTAATCGAACCGATCGAACGCGTCGAAATCGAGAGAGGAACGAAACACGATCAAGCTATTTCCACGCCTACGCGACCGACCATCCATCGAATCGAAGAAACATCGTTCTTCGATATTACGTTCGATACCTTATCGAATCACGGCGGTGCGGTCGAGTATCGAATCAATCGTGGTTATCGTCCAATGAAATCGTCATGAACTCCGTTTCGATACTCGGTATTTGCGGTGATCCTATGATAGGGCTCGAATAGTGGCAAATTTTATTTCGATTCTTCGCCTCTCGAGAAACTCTAGTATAATTCGTTTATTAAATTTCATTTCTGGCTCAACCATTATTTTACTTCAAAAATTCATTAATTATTCGTGTATAGTTTGTTACAAGAATTTTGTGCTTACCCTTTAATGATTTCGAAGTATGGAAAACTTGACACAAATTCATGACAGAAAAGTTTAACGAAATAATACGTATGATACATCGATTTGAAGCTTAAAGTTTGCTGAAAATAATTGCATTAAGGTTTTATTAATATTCGTAATACAAAATGACTGGTTCTTCATTGAAACAGTGGATCACTGTACACACCTTATTTCACACCTTAATGATGTTCTTTTACAAATAAGGTGATCAAATCATAGAAGTATATTCTAATTATGATCTGAATAATTGCAGTATATCAGTGGAAGTATTAAGAAACCATTTGGTTTGCAATTTTAAAGTAGAAACAGTCTAATAGATTGTTAAGTACAATAAGGATTCATTGTTTAGTGTACCTAATGCTAATGATACAATTTTCAATAGTATTTAAAAGTCTTCTTCATTTCTTCATTTTTTAATTATTTGACGAAATGCCACGTATCTCTGACCCGTCAGTAATTCTCGTAAAAAATATATGAACCATGAATATCCTTTTTAAATAGAAAACTATACAGAGAAGCAATATTCATCGAAATGGGATAAGTTTGAATAATGTCTACTAACTTTTTAATTATTGAAATTATCCACTAATGAACAATTAATCTGTGGTAACATAAAACATTGATGTCTGTTTTAATAACCTTAGGAAAATCAAATCTGTCAGTAAAATTACAAATTTCGTAGAATGTTTTTTGATTATTCGACTGTAACTATGTAATTATTTATTACTTGAAACAATTAAAACATTTTCTTTTGTAGGGCATGAAAGTTTAGCTTGACTTTCATAATATTCCAAATTATATATCAAAACATCATTAACCAGGACAATTAAGTAGACTATTTCTTCAAATGTATAAAAAAATGGAATGGAAAAGGACACTTTAAATATCATTAAAATGACATTAGTAAGTCTAACAATAAGTAGCAAACCGAAGCATTAAATACAAATGTAAATCCTTAACGTAATTAATAATCCAAGTCATTTAATGGCATATTAATTCTGGCTATTTCTACTATGGCATTCACTGTAAAACAATGAATAATGTTTTTATTTAACCCTAATTAAAAATACTAATAGCCTAACCTGTAACAGAAAATGATATTTTGACACCATCTAGTATTATCAAAAATAAATCCTCGCGAAAAGAAACGAATCGTTTCTCTGTAATAATTACAAGTTTCGAGTTACCATGGAGAGAGCACCAATTTCAATTTAATTTTGATTCTGTCAACATAAATAATTTATACAGTGTACACCTCGTGACATAAAAATAATACAAAATTAATAATCCACTGTTGCTTAAAAAAACTACAACATCAAAGTTTTCATAAACATTTCTTTAAAAAATACATCAAAAGATCCTACAGCTATTAGGAACGTAAAATACCGTGTAGAAAACAAAGACGAATCGATAGAAAACAGGTCGATTTAAAGCAATACGGGTTCGGTTTCGTTGACAGGCTGGTTGAAAACGATTTCAAACTATATCGTGGCTGTTATTACGGATAATTCAAATTGCATGTAAAACAGCGCCGATTAATTCTGATCAATTGAAACGAAAATGCGGAAAACAGAGTGGTGGGTCGACCACTTTTGTTTTCTTTCGCTTGGTCGTTGCACGTTGAAAACGAAACATCTGATCACTTTCCATTTCTGATATCGATACACGGTGAAATTCATGAAAGAAATCAGCTTCTCGATTCACGTACGTTTCCTTTTCTTTTATTTCCACGTTCAGTTTCATCGCGAGGGGAAAAAAGAACGAATCCGATTCTTAACGGATGAAAGGAAATGCTCGCGTCGATTGCATTTATTTCTCAGGATTCTCTATCGATTAATGAAGGAGTAATTGAACCGCGAGATGGAAAAAAGAAAAAGGATAAAGGATCCTTCAATTATCCTCGAGTACTTTTGCTCTGACACCATCTGGGAATATCGAGATAGATTCGAGAGGATTTCATTCCCTTGGAATCTTGAAATTGTTGCACATTATTTAGTCAATGGACTTAAAGAAATTCTTCAAATGATGTTCTTAATTAATCAAGATTTTTCGAATTTTAAGAAATTCTCGGCTATTTTGTATTTTTCGAAAATAGAGCACACTACGAAAATTGATCTGGTTAATATATTATTTCATAGAAAATTCTTCGAACGACATTACTATCAAAATTTTTATAAATTTTCTACTATTTTATGTAGATATTCTGCGAGACAAATGGCACCATTTCTTTCCTGAGATTATAAATGTAACTGCAAGGATCTTTCTTCTTTATTTATCCACAGTTTTTGTCATAGAAAAACTTGGGAAATCCTACGGAAAAATAAGATATTTTTATTCAAGGGTTTAAAATAGGGTTCAAATTCATATTTCTACAAATTTCTATGCATTTTCTATGCATTCATATTCCTAAGAACCTCACGCATTTCCCAACGAAAAGTTCACTAACACATTATTAACTTGAAAATATAAAATCAACAGTCTCTGCATTGTGCAAAATTTCTGTTTTCAAGAAGTTTTTAACCCTTGAACAGCGGAATCTGGGTCAATGGAAACCCAAACTTGAAAGGCATACGCAAAGATATTAATTTAAAATTAAACGTGTAATTTTTAAGTGAAATACTTTCGTATATTGCAAGAGTAATTTTCAAAGAAACAGTATAAAATTTAGGAAATGAGAATAATAGGAAATTATATTAAAATCGGGGTGTTCTCCATGACCCACCGTCTAAGAGTTAAAAGATCCTTTTAAACGCAAATAAATAAAAAATTCAGTTTCTTCTATAATGCCTTATATTCTTCCTTATTCTCTGGTTCAGAAAAAGGTATAAATTTTTAACCAAAAGTATAGTAACCGTTTGGTTTGCACATTCTGCAAGAGTTTTAGAGAACTCCGGAAAATGACTTGAAATATTTGTTTAAAAAATTTTTTAATTGTCCTTTAAACATTGCCGGTGGCAGGTCGGAGTTATAGAAAGTGATTTCACTGAAAATTATTCGATTATTCAAAGGCAAATCTTAAATCGCGAAGAAATGGAGAGGCGGGAAACAGGCTTACGCTGGCCGTCGGTTGAAGTCTCCGAATTTTTATGGCGACCACGGCAGTCTCAAGTTCAACGACTTCCGTTCTCGCTAAACTCTTCTAAATACCATGCAAATTTTATCTAAGAAACATAATTAAATATTAACCATCCCATACAACAGAAATACAAACAAAATAAAACAAGTAGAAACAAAAATCTTAAAAGAATAAGCTCGGAAAAACAGTCGTTATCTTTTTCTTTCTGATCGAAAAAACTTCATTATTTATTTCAAAATTTTATTTACAATACTCTAAGTAATACCTCGTTAAATGAACCTCTAAAAATTCAAGAAAATTAAGTAAAAAAATTGTTAAAACCATACTTGTAACTTTTGTTCAAAATGCTGGATAATCTCAATTTATTTAAGCAAGTGGTATGAAGATGTTAGTTAAAACCGAGTTATTAATCACAAAAGAGCAATATTAATGAGAGAAAGTGTAAAATTATATGTTCGTATGACGAGGGCGACGCCTTCCGTCGGTCGTCGTAAAAATGGAGTCCAAACGGCGAGACTTACCCTCTCTGACCCTTGTGCACGGTTCATTTACAATATTCATTAAATAAAATTAATTTTTTAACACGATTGAATGAGACATCATACATTTCCATACGAAAAAAATGGATTTTTAAAAGGGAGTGCAAAAGCAATCGTTGCGAATGAATTTCATTTCATCTTTGTTATAATTCCTAACATAATTATAAGCAAAAGATAATGTAGTCTATTAAACAAATGAATGTTAATTAAACGCCGGAATTTTTCGATTTATTTACATACTTTCTAGGTGAAACCGATGTGAAAGTAAATGTTAACCGTGATCAGTCAAGCTTGCAAATTCACAAAAAAAGTTCAGTGCTTTAAAAAAAGGAATAGTGCTACTTTATACATTTTTCGAGAATGTGCGTTGAATATTAAATTGAAATTTAAAAAGTGAGTGTTTACAATGTGTATTAAAAATTGTAACAAACCTACTGTCTTCTGGATTCGAGGAGGTAAAAAATGAATGTGAATTTCATCATCAAAAATATTTTGCAATTTAACTAATTAACGTCCGAAAAGTGTGAGAAAAAATTGAAAGCCTCCATTGAAGATTTTTACGTGCCGTCGGTAAAAATTGTGTGCAAGGTAACAATAAATTATAAACAATTTTCCTTGGATAAATAAATAAACAGGTGTCCATAAAATTGTTATGCAACAAAGAAATGCAAATTGTTGATTTAAGTTTGCTGTTTTGAAATTGCAAGAAATTTTTACAAAGCAGTGAAAAGTTTCCGTCGGACAACTGAAAAATTACTCATTTTTAAAAATAATTGTTTGTATTGATAGAATCTGTTTCTTTTTTAAAAATATTTATTTCGAACTGAATAACGTAACTGTTATGAACATTTTATATTTGATTAAAAATTAGTCACCGCGAGAAAGACATACGCTTCTAATCATTGTAATTCGAGAAAAATTTGAACAAAATGACGTGCTTGTTCCTGGAACATTTTTTTACATTTCTATCCTCGTTAAGGTGAATGTCCGCTCGTGTTTCATGAAGCTCATATTAATCCATTAATGAATTCCAAATTTTTCATTCGCATAGTTCATTTACCTTTAATCCCAGTTTTAATCAACATAAAAATTGCACTTGCAAAATTCCGGCACATTACACATTCAAATATTCGAAATTTCGGATGAAAAGGGACAAGATTTAATCCTCGAATGGTTGTACTGGGTCAATGGTGACCCAGACCTATAAAAGATACCCAAACGTGTTTCAACAAAAATTGCTCATTCGATTCTTTAAATCAAAGATTTTCATATATTTGAAAAATAATATCCGAAGGCAGTATTGGATTGAGGGGAATTAATTTCTCGGTTTTATTTCTGAATGTAAAGAAATAACAGGAAGTTTGGTAATGTTAAATTAGCAGCACTCAGTCAAGTGACGATTTCGTTTCTATCTTTTATTCAATCACCTTTTATTCGATCTCTTTAATTATGCACTTCCGTACACCTTTTTTCCCATAACAGTAATTTATTTTTTTCATTGTTTCTTGCTATTTCAAAGGAAAATACTGCATCCTGATTTAATCCTAGATATATTTTCAAAGGAAATAAGCAAATCTCAAAGACGTTGCACGCCCAAACATTAATTAATCGCACAGTTGCCTAGGTTGACAGATTTTTGCTTATTAACTATCCACCAGCCAGCTTGGGCATTGAATTTCATTTATTTTTTATACAGCGTCGCCTGTCAATGGCTTCCTCTTCCAATTTTTCTACCGTTTGATTAATTTACGTGGCCCCGCACGCACGAATCACTGTCTATCTCGATCAACCATTCGAAAATTCGGCAAAAATTTATTTCGAGTACACCGAGAAGAACATTCGCCCCCGTTTACTTTTGTTTCACGAAACGCACCACTGACGGAGATGTACCATTTTCACGCGGAGACTTTATTTTAATCCTTAATGAAGATCTACCTTAAGAGGGCAGATTTTCTTTTCTCCTTCAAGTGTTTCTTTGTAATTTAAAGCCTTTTATACCTTCTGCGGCAAGGTGCTTTGGCGAATTTCGTCTCCCTTTCTGTCGTTAAACGCATAATTAAGCAATCCAAAAGGAACAATTAAGATACTATGAGTTGAACGTCCAAAATTTTTACTACGTAGCTTTGAAGAATTCTATAGTGTATAAAATAATGGCAATAATTTAATTATGTAAATTACTATGGTTCTTAATTTTGCTACGTTTGGATCTTTCGTTTTTCTCAGGGAAATATTTACAGAAATTTTCAATGAAATTCTGCATAGGAAAATACTATAAATTTTAATAAAAATCATTAGATAATTAGTGAAACTTTTGTACTAAATTTTCAAAGTTCTGCCCCTTTCTTTTATTATTTTCTTATTTTAAATATGCTTCATGTACATTAAAAATATTAGCTACTCAGTCACGCAGTTTTTAATTATTTCAAAGCAACAAGTACAGAGCAATAACCTTTATTTAAATTCCCTGCGTTAAATGAAATTCCTTTTCTGTTTAACGCGTTCGCTACCGAGCCTCATAGATCATGCATAGAAACCATGCATCCATAGATTCCTTGCGTTTTTCTGCAAATAAAATCAAAAGCAAAATAATTAGATACTAATTCTTTGAGTCCCACAAATCTTAACCCAATCCATAAGAGAACTCATTAGCAGCTTGATTGGTATCTATTTTGATTAATACATTTTCCAAATTTTATTGGAGATATGTAAAAGCTTCCATCAGCTATTTCCAGACTTTTGACAAAGTGCCAAATGTATTCAGTTTTTTTTATTAAAATAGTGACAAAAAGTAATATATTCTGACTGACAAAATTGCACCATCTGCGAAATATTAATAAAGAAAATTTTCATAAAAGCAATGGAAGCTTTTGAATACTTTTCATAATAAATAATTCCATAGAAGAAAAAATATGTAAAGGTCAGAAATTTAATTGCAAACCTAATATAATGTAAATGAGTTTCCATACAGTGTTTATGAAAAATATGAGATCTGATTATTATTTAATTGCTGTCCATCCTCAGATCACTTCTTTATTAAGACTCTAACTAAATTACACTTCAATTTTCATAGCTATTCATAAATAAAGAGGGACAAATATTTCCATAATTTTATGTAATATTTTGACTAATTAAGAGTATGTAAAAATGTCTTTTGGCCATGTATAAATAGTAGTATCAAATATTTTGTTATTATGTTAACATTTGTCAATTTGTGTAATGATGACACGCCACTAGTTGTATCTATTGACATAATTGCAGTTTCAATTACCCAGTACAAAATGATTAGTGAAATGGCAATAAACATTTACAAAACTTATATAATGATAACAATGATTGCCCATAAGTTTCACAAATGATTGTACAACAATAATAATTATTTTTAACTCAGCCCCAATTATGTAGATATTTATGCACTTATAGCATACCAGAGCGTGCAAAAAATATGCAAATTATACAGTACACATAAACAAAGCAAAACAAATTAGGTAAATATGAAGAATACACAAAATGTGAGAATTAAAACAGTAATTTAAACACCCTAAAGAAAAAAATATTTTTAAAAAGTATGGTAGTATTATATATTTGCACAAAAATTCAACAAGACAGTATAAAAGAAGATTTTTTCTATCGGCTCAGAAATGATAAAATATTTTTCTCAAAAAACCACTGTTATTTATAAAATCTGAATAATAAAAATTGCCATAAAATAATGGAAGCTTTTACATACCCCTAGTAAATAAATGTCGCGAATTCGGTTTGCCAAGGTAACAGTTCTAACGAAATAAAACTCGACAAGCATACAAGTTAAGTCACTTATTTTCGTATAAATTTCTTGCCTCTGAACATACATTGGCCGGATCGGCTCGCCTGTAAAGTTGTATTAATCGACGTGATGTATCGGCCGCGTGCATCGAATAGATACGAATGGCTTGTTTCCGCCAATCGTTCTGGGCCGGTAAAAAGCAGCTCCCTGTATTTGTTTCCCCAGCGTGCCCCCAGTAATTTATACATCTAAACAACCATAAGCAACTCGTGTAACGACCAGCCACACAACTATAATTCTCGCTTCAACGACGATATAGTGGACGTATAAATGCATTCAGAAAAACGATATCGAACAATTTTTTATTTATTTATTTTTTTTTTTTTTCGACATACTTTCTCCTCGTTCATCCAACCAGTGAAAGTGTTTCAATTGAAAAGAAGAAGATGAAAAAAAATAACAACGCGACTGTTCGTAACAAAAATAGGAAAAAATGGGCTCCACGTTTTTTTCGTTCGATATTGAATCGGACGTACAGTGGGTCACATAAGTATTCGCATTCCATCAATCAATAATTTAAAGCGCAGAATATTTTTTGAGAAATAATTGTTGAATTCATTTTTATATTCCCCTTGGGTCTATACGACCCCGAATAAAAATAAAATTTTCAGAAGTACTATACTTCGAAACATGTTTGTCTAGAAATTTTGTTCGAAAAAACTAATAAACTTTTTTAAACAAACGTTCTTGTATTTAAAAGAGTATTTTTCTGTCTAAGATAAAATAATTTTTGTATTTAAAAATAATTATAATTTTGGAAGTCAATATTAGTTTGGGTGTTTAGAGACAGATTGTCTAAAATGAAAAATTTGAGAAAATTTAATTTATATATTATAATAGGAGTAGTTTTGTGACTTTTTGACACGTTTCCTCGTCCATAGTTTCCTTATTTCGCTTTCGATTTCTGGAGAACGCCAGTGTGCAACCACAGGCTTGCATATTCATGTACACTTCTGTATATAGATTAACTACATAACAGCTACCGTTGCAGAGTATGTACAGATCGTTTGATAGCCAGCGAGAGTGAAACCGGAAATGGATCGATCGACGGCACATTGTCACCTCGGAGAGACGTTCACCGGAACCAATCAATAATCAATTCACATATTCCTTTAACGTTATCCTCTTCTTCTTTTGCTTACTTTCTGACACGTGTTACCGTTCTTCTTCTTTTCATAAAAAAGCTGTTCGTAGCTTTTATATAAGATAAAATTAATTTTGTTTGATATAAGCATATCAGCAGTATTTCTTCATCGAACTGGTAAACAGAAATTAATTTCACGAGTCAAATTATCCAGATACAGTATTGAAATTTCTTCATCTAATAAGACATTGAAAAACTGAATTACCTTTAATGATTCATCAGAGCAATTAAAAAGCTCCTTAGTTAAGAGATGACAGTGAAACGTGATTATCGATTCGAATTCACGTAAAATAATGCTGCTGGCGGAAATGTTAATGAACATATTACCGATAAAGTATTCGGTGCGTTAAGCTATGTTGAATTATCATCGAATAGCGACTAATATTTCTTTGAAAATAACTAATTGCTCTCGAATATGAACCCAAGCTATGTCTACATAGGTATTTAAACGACTCCCTCTGTTTAATTTCCTTGCGACATGTTACATGAACATTGAAATTATTACTCGTTGACAATTACAACAAAAAAGTCATCACCTTTTATCAAATACACTTAACATTCTGATCGTCCACTCTCGAACAGTGACAATTGAAATTTTCAAAAACTTCATTTTTCTTTTATCAGCACGGTTTAATACAGGAATATAAAAATTGATCTGTGTTAAATGGTTAAAGGAGATGTTTTCACACATTTCGAATAATCCGATTCGGATCGAAGACAGAAGGTTGACAATTGATTCCGGTGAAATGAAAAGAGAGAAAGTATCGGTAAATATTGAGCAGAGCGGGATAGCAGGAATGGCATAGGAATTAATGTAACGCGAAAAGAACGAACAATTGGAGGCAAACGGGAAATGGTACCGACACGATACCATCGGTATTGGAATGCAAATTATTAACGCTCGTATTTCGAGAAGTTGGTTTACGAACTTTTCCGCGGTATTTCGTTTTATCCAATCAATTTACCTCCAGGAGGCTTAATGAAATTTCGCCCCGTATCGAACAGTCAGCCCACGTGTTTGCGATCCTCTTCTCGATTTTCGACCTACTGCTACCTGTACTCGCCGACGTGTTATTCCATACAAATTTTGAGTAAAGTGATTACTTTTCACCATATTTCTTTCCGAACGTCACACGAAAGTTACATCGATTCTGTTAACCGTGAAAGAATTTTCGAATCGAATCTTTTATGTTCTTCCACCTTACTATTACATAAAGGAATGTATTTAGGTATTGTTTTGATTTTGCTGCAACTTCTGAAATTTTTATTAAGTAATTTTTTAAAATCAAATATTCAGAATTCTATTTTGACACCCCTTCCAAACGTAATATCTTAAACGATCACCAAACAAGTATCTGGTGTCAGAAAACAAAGCGAGCGTACTTCCTGAAAATCCAAAATCGTTCGTCGTCCATAGAGGTTCATAATTGAAACGTCCGAAGTATTAACAAAGGCTCCCGAAAATTAATCAGCGATTCCCTTCAGCGGAGGCTTGCTTCTATTGGTCGAGACCACGGTAGAAAGAGGCGGTAATCAAGAAAGGGGTCCCTAGAAGGGCGGCAAAACATTCTCTACCTGGTCGATCGCGTTTCGTCATCATCAAAGTACAATTCGTGGGCCATCACCGACAGAACTCGGTCCGGCTGGCTAGAAAGGGGATTCCATCAAGCGACCGCGGAAGGAGCCATTTTTGTCCTGATGAACTTTACAGACCGAAGGACAGGGTTACGGAAGGGGAGATTAGGCGGCGAGGGTGGTAGGAAAGGGGGAAACGGAAAGGGTCGAGAAGCGGAGGCGGAGACAGCCGAGTCAGAGACCGGTAGCGCGTGCTTGGGAAATTAATTAAAAATTATCCGCGAAACAAAATTCGCCGACAAAGAAGAGTTCGAAAACGAGGTTTTCCACGATCGGCGGCGGTTCCTTCGCGATCCCCGTGATCGTAACTTTCGCCGTTGTCCATTGCCCGGAACGATGGATTCTGTCGTTGGCCGATGCCCGGGAGTAGTGGCTACCATTCGCGCGATACCGCCGGTATAATATTTCAAAGTGCCTAAAACCGAAACGGCCGGGAAAATGGAGGGCAGCCATCTTCGGCGTGGCTCGCAGGAACGCGGAGCACCCCGTGGTGCCGCCACCCTATCAGCGAGGCCGTACAACGCGGAGAAACACGAGGACAAGAGGGTTGCCGAGGGTTGGCCTGAGGTTGAGGGATCGTTTAGCATTCGTCGTCGTTTTCGTTTCTCCGGGCAAATGGGGGGTTGCGCGAACGTAGGAGAAAGACAGGGGGAGAAAAGAGAGACAAGCCGATAGGGTGGACGATGATGTTCCTCGCCCTCGAATTCTTTCTCCCTCCGCGACACCCTCAGCTGCTCCGCGCCGATCCCTTTCGTTTCGCCGTCCTCCTCGCACCCGGGGTTCGACGTTTTTTCGTTGTTTCACTTGGAAAAAGCAAGTCTCCGCAAACAAAGGGCGAGGCTGTACAGAGGCTGGCCTGGATAAGCGGCCGATCGTGCGATTATAACGGCAGGGATAATGCTTATTATGCGCCACAGCACGGCCTCCATCGTCGTTCCAGCCCTCATGGGAACGAATCCTCGCCGGAGAACAACGCGATACGCCCCGCGACCGGTCTCCTCAAGGATTAACCGGCTACCACGATTTCCCTTTAGCTGGTCTTTTGGGGTTTTTCTGTCGCCCGTTTCTATTTTACGCTAATGGCTCGTTTCTCTTTTTTTCCCCCCCGCTCGTCTCGAAACGAAGGAACGAGGATCAGAGAGGATACTCTGAACCCACGAGCGGGCAACGCTTCGTGCCGTACCAACATTTTTGAGCCACTACCCCCATTTCGATTCGATTTCCTTTCCCTTCCGTATGGACAAAGAGATATGAATCTTTGAAAAGCGTCATTTTGTTTTAGCTTCAGTTTTTGAAGATTAAGATTTCGTAGTGAACATTTCAGAGATTAAATCTTCTGTACCTTCTGTTTAACCCTTGCCTGTGTAGACAGATATATTATAGAAATCATTGGTACCTAAATGACGGGTTTAAACTTAAGACTTTTAGCTTCAACCTCCTTCCAAATGTGTCAGCCACTAAGACAAAATATTTTATTTAACCCTTGCCTTCAAACATCGAATCACCCATTTAAATCAGAATAAATATTATCAGGCAGTTGATAACTAATCCTGATGCAATGGAAAAATAATTAAGTCACAAGGACGAATTAGCGGTACCTAATTGATAACTCGAAATGTTCAAACCCTTTTAAGTAAATTCAAAGGGTAGTTCGACAAATATACCTCGCGTTTTCCCACAGCTTCCTCTACTTGTTTTTCTCTGTTGAAAAAAAGTTCAACAACGAAAGAGAATTGGAGAACGGTATTCACGCGAGTTCTTCTTTTTTCTCTTTTGAAATAACTCGGAACTTCCGCTTTTCTTGCAAGCCAGCTCTCATTACAACCTTCATCTTACTTTTAAGTAATGTTTGCATTAACACCTCTAGAATCGTTCAACATATTTTCTTTCTTAATACGAGGTAGAAAGAATCTCACATTCGCTCGCGGGCAACCGCTCGTTTAAAACACGGTTAAGAAAATCTCGTTTCCGGCTTAAGGTTTCCACCGGCAAATATAACGTTTCACTTGGAGTGAAAGCGAGAGTGAAGGAAAGGAGTATAATCAAGGTAAATATCGGCTATGTTTTCTTCTCTCGAGGTCGGCCAGTACGGCACCAGTCTAAGCCGAGTACAGACGTTAAAAATGAGTTTCGCGAATCTCTCGCGAAAACCCAGCCAGTTTCGACCCGTTTACACGCATCGGTACACCGGGACGAATATTCCATTCAGTCCGAGATTCGTCTATCGAAAATGATCACAAATTGCAATTCTCCGCCAAACGAAATATACCTGGAGGCGAAGAACTATCGATAAAGTATCGATTTTTATCGATAACTTTCACTATCAAATATATCGGTGTTTCGAGAAAAGTTTAACTCATAAATGTTATAGAATTTCGATTATCGGAATTATCGATTGATGTCAATAGTCCTTCACTTCCGATAGGGCGCAAATAAGGTGATTCGCGGGGGGTTCGTGGATCCGGTGTGTACGCGGCTTAAGTCTCCGAAGTCGTACAAGGCCAAACGCAGAGAGGGTTGACTCGAGTAAAAAAGCTGTTGGATTGAATCCTTGGCCGGCATTGTTCCGAATAATTGGACTATTAACGAGAAATTCCGTGGCTGTTTTTTTATTTTTTCAAGATCGACACCGACTAACTGACGCGGCCGTTTCGTAAACACGCATCCGCTCGTTCCTCCTCAGAGGAATCCAGTATCTACGAACAAAGAACCGATGTTCGTGACAACCCTGGCTCAGATAACCAACCGATCGTATGATTACAATAATGTGTATTATGCACCGATGCAGTATGAACGGTTCCGGTACTTCCGGTAATGAATACTCCCCCGAGAACAATAAGCTGTTCTTCGAGTATAAACCGATTATTCTTCCCCTTCCACCCTTCTTCTTCTACGTTTTTCCTTTCTTTTATTATTCGACCATCGATTATCACTGACTGGGATGGTTTTGCACTCGTCACCTTCAAAACAGCTGGAGGGTAATCGTGGAGCGATACGAATTCGGGTGATCGAAGGATTCTTTCGAAGCACAAAAATGAACGAAACCCATGTTTTTATTATCAATAGTGAAGTAGATTAAATTTCATAACGTGGATGAATTTCAGTATGTTTAAACATAATCGTGGTACGCTTTGATTGTTTAGATATTATTAGATCTATGACAAATTAAAAATAAGTAAAATTGGGGATCTCTTCATGGTCCGCCGTTCGAGAATTAAACAGCAGTTAATGAATAATCATTATTTTCCTCTATAATTTGTAATATTTATTCATTTTCGAATGGAAAAGAATTGCCAAATATTTAATTTGAAAAAAATTAATGAAATATCGTTGTTCGCGTAACCACCTGATGAAACTAAACTAAGAATTACCGAATTTTTGGGTCAGCTTTGATCGTTGTCTCTGAATTAACGCGAACACTTTGCGATGCATTGTTACGTGCAAGCTCCACGCCATATGATTGGAGAACTCTGGTTACGAACAATGGCTCGGATTAACTGAACCCGTTACATACGTGACACGTGTTCGACACACACGTGTCCGATCGATCGGAAAACTTTTTTGGATCCTTTTGCAGTCAGACGTTTTGTGTCCCCGAATTCCCGGTATACTGACCGAAATTAAACGCGAGGGAAAAAAAGGACAAGGAGAACGTCACGTTTCATTTATCACTCGAAACCTCCCACACTATTGCGTGAATGGAAAAACAATTTACTTCAGAAAATTAACCCTCGTCGTACGATGTCTGGATTTATTTGGGTACAAAAATAACTACGTATAAATGAGGGTTAAAATTTTCTTTACTAGCCTAAGTACCCATCGACAAAATTCATATAAAAAACAAAACGAATAGTTATTCATTTAACGCATAAAAGCCATTATTTTTTTCTTTCCAATTAGACAAACGAGAAATAACAACTAACAAAACATTAATTGGAGGAAAAACGAAAGGCGCGAGAAGCAGCATCGATTACTTTTGACGATCACCTTTTTTTTTCGTTATTCCCCCGTCAACGAGGATCTGTTCGACGAATAATTTCCTTTCGCGAGCCGATGCTATTTTCGAATTAGCTTGAACTAACCGCAGCCTTTGGCATTTATTCGATCTGTACGATCAGAGTATCGCAGTTACAAGTAACAATCCGATTTTATTTGTTCCCTTGCACACACGTTTAACAAACGTCTATCAACGATCTGAAACAGCTGAAAATTCATTGGCAATATTCGAACCCTCGACTGATACAGATAACCGGATAGTAATTAAGGAGACGTAATTAAAGTCATCTAATACATAATTTTTTCCAAAATATATGCATTAAAGGTTGAATAATCATAAACGCTAATTTTCTGCATTCCAAAAGGTACAATGTATTTTGGAATAATTATATTTATTAATTACATTTTTTGTGATGTAATTAGTAGATGTTGATTATATTCTCTTTTATCGTTTGTTAAGGGCATGCATTTCATTTCTGGATTGATCCATAATTAATTAACTGACAACGAATAATTAACGAAGAAAATTAATAGTCTTTTTTAGCCGTTGCTATGAATTCTTTAAAATAATGTTGACGGCTAAACGAATCAGAGGATGCAGTATTTGTACCGTGTCGACGGTGGCTGTTGCATTTTAATGTATCCGAGAAATACACCATCCCGATGCATAAGACAAACCCTCCCGTAAGGAGAACTATGAATTCACCTAAACAGAAACCATAAATAATCCTCAGAGAAAAGCTTCGTCTCGCAGTGAATCTGCGAATCACCGAAAAGTCATGAATAATTATAATCCCTTTCACCAGCTTTCAAAAACATGGATATTTTCCTGTTCCATGGAAAATTCTAGGATAAACTTTCGTAAAATTTTCCTCGTTACAAATAGCGATATGATATAAAAATTTTCAAATTTTTCTGTTATTTAAGCTTCCCTTTATTCTTAAATTAATTTCTTTGAATACCAATGCATGCTGATCATTTCCTCGATTTGTTAAGCAATCAAAAATATATTATTCAATAAAAACCCAAGGAAAAATCGAGGAACTTTAATATAGGAGGAGATTATTAATATAGAAACTAATGACAGTAAAAAAAGACAATTATTTTTAATTGGTTTCATTAAAATAGGAGCTTTTCCAATATTTACTGAGCAAAAAATAAATATGATCAATAAAAAGGCTGCAGTTGCATTCGAAATTTATAAGTAGAAAATTAACTTAACAATTTCTTTTATAATTATTTTTCCCGCTTTCAATTTTGGGGCATAAAAATGGAGAAATGAAAACGAAGACTTGATGTTTCAAAAAACGCTCACATTTATAAAAGCTCCTCGATTGCAACGACCCATTGCATTTTTTCGTGGCCACGTGCATCGGACTGGGTGGCAAAGTTCGAAACCGGTAACCGAATAGAAATCGATTGAATCAATGAACGAGGAGGGCCAAAGTGGTTCAGGTCGACGCACGTGTGACGATATTAATGTACCGACCGATCAATGGCCTAATGAAGATGTATTCAGTTCCTGGCAATTTCTAAACCTGCGAGAACCCTAGGGCCTTGAATTTCGCGAGCTCAGCTGATCGATCGGTCAATGGATCGAACGGGTCGATCAATTTTCTCGGAATAAACGGCACGCGACCCCTTTCAGATCGCGTGTATTAATCTACCGATAAAATATCACGGTTCTCTTTTTTTTTATTTTTCCTTCTACCTTTTTTCGCGTGTTTGTGTTTTTTTTCAGTATCCTGCCCACGAGTTCGTGAAATTCAATTGCAACGCTTTGGAAATCAAAAAGTTACGCGAAAGTGAAATATCGACGATTTTGTAAGGAAAAAAATTGTAACTGTTTGCAAAATTATACAATGTTTCATTATCCAATAATTTGAAGGATTTTGTTTGAAAAATATTTTCATTCTTTAATCAGATCTCTGAAGAAATATTAAATTATTATTAATAAAATAAAAAAACGTGTACATTCTGAAATATTTTGTCAGAAAACTAAGTTGCTGTTCAGAATTCTATAACTGGAAAATTATTCATTTTCCTTGACTTTCAATGCCAACATATTTTATTAACAGCATCAGGTTATTATAATTTGGGAGGAAATAAATCTCTTGATTGAATTTCTCGAAACATCTCCAAAAGAATAAGAGAAGTCCTGTTCGTCAATGGCGGCGGTCCGACGGGGTGAGTTTATCCGTCGCTTTTCCGAAATAATTATTAATCGTCGTTTAAAAATCTCTACAATTTTCAATATTTTTTCAGGAATCATTAAACAACACTCTAATAGTCTGAATTTACACGAAATAACGTTTTGAATATTTTATAAAATAATAAATAGTTAAAAATGCTATCTAAAAATTACGAAGAAAATTCAAATAAATCCAGTATTTATTTTTTGGTGATTGTTTTGGAGAGGCATTCAAACATTACTTCCATGCTTATTAACATTTCATTACACGTTATAAACTCGACGAGCTTCTGGAAATCATTTTTTCAATTACAATCTTCCCCGTTACATCGAGTAATGTATTTGTTAATGACAGTAATCGGGTAACGAACGCGTGCATTGCGCAAACACAAATCGTTTACAAATTACAGAACCGAAATACACCTATTGTCCTTCTACACCATGACAGCGATTTAGACCAACAAATGTTGAATGAATTTCTATTGAAAATCTCTCTTTACAAATTCAATAATTCCAGGCAGGATCAAATCCAAACATCGTATACAATTTTTAGAATACTGTTTTCGAGTCATTTCAGAAACGATCTAACAATAAAATAAAAATAAAATAAAGAAAGTAGGCTATAAAAAGTGGAAAATGCATCGAAATTGGAGGAAATTATCTCGTTAGACGACCCGGGTTGCCTTTGATCGAAAAGATAATTACGGTAAAAAATCCTAAATAATAACGGATTTAAGGGTAATCAAGAAAAGAAAGAAGGAGAGGGTGGTTATCAGGGGGATGAGAGTATAATTCAGAGTCGACAAGTCGTTGTTATCAATAACATTTTTGCAGAGGCCGTAATATCCCGGGAAAGTAATTAGAGTAAATTCAGGGGTTGCCGAGCGACCCTTCCAGCCGCACAAAATGGCGGCGGGAACCGCCCTTGCGAAAAAAATTAGGCCTCCTTCCGCTGCGCGGTAAAATTTACATGAAAAAAAGGAACGCCCAGCGGCTTTCGGAAAACGAAGCTTCGACAATGCGACTCATTCTTTTTTCTTTTTACGCCTTTTTTTTTTATTTTTTTTATTTTTTATGGGTAAATCGAAGGGAGTCCACGTGGCGGGGTTGGCTGCCAGGGAAATACCTGTAATTTATGTGTAGGAAATGGAAAAAATATGGTAAAAGGTCACGTTCGCTGGTAGACTTTAAAAACGATTAGAATCTTAATATCCGTCGTAAAATATGGACCCGGGCATTATCAAACGAGTATGTATTTGTCTGTCAAGCGAATATATTGTTACAATTCTGCCAATAAAACCTCTTCTTCGCTTTATTTGCTATTGTTCTCCCTTTTTCTTTCAGATAAACATGGAAATAGACAAAATGGAATCATTTGTTAACCCTCTGTATACCTGAGAATATCGAAGTACTTCCTGATCTAGAGGTTTAACAAATTTCTTGTAAAAATTAAATTACCTTAATACAAAATAACTTGGTTGCGTTGAATTTAGAAAATAAATTCAATCGATCGCTTTCTTAATACATTTTGATTATGTATTTTTATCTTCTTCAGGCTTTTATTTTATTAATTACAAAATTATTATATAAACTTGATCTTTATGCTGAAGTTTGGACTCTGTCCGCCGTCCGAAAGTTAATAAAGATATGACTGTTCATATTTAATGATTGGAGGGTTGTTAATAAAAACAAAAGATAGACTAAACACTTTTATTTGTTCATATCAGATATCGAGCCAAATTACGATGCTGTAATTAAAAATTATAATAAAATTTAATTTGGTGTTCCTTACATTTGTGTGTAAAATCGATGATCATGAACTCATAAATTCAACATAATCACTTAATTTTATATTACAAAAATATTAATTAAATTATTTCTTGAATAATTACACAATGAAAAATAAATCTTCAAATAAGCATCATGAATCATTTTTGTATTATTATGGACATTTTAATAATGGATTACAGAGGGTTAATATTTTTATTTGCAATAGATCTTCATCGCTCATCTTGTAAGCATTAATTCAATAATTTCTAATATTGACATTTTAATTGCACCACAAGGTAAAAGTACCGTCTTCTTTTCATTCTAATAAATTTATTATTTAATTATCAATCAGTTATTAATGTTAATGAATAGTTAATAACCACTTTTTGATAAATATTGATTCACAGATGATGAAATTCTGACGTTATTCCAGTAGAGAAACGTCGAGAGAAAGAATTCTCATTTATAAAAATTAATGGTCATTCCGTTGATACACTGAACGTCACACCAATTGTCGTAATGGAAGTTGATACAAACAAAAGCGGAATTTTAACGCTTTTCTGTTGTTCCTCGCTTGAGAAAATTTGAAATTTTAATACCTTAACTACCCCTTGTGCAAACATTGCCGGTGAAGCGTGACGTACAGGGTGTTCTAAAACGGCACCGTACCATTTATCAAACGTTTCCTCGTGTATGTGGGTGTTTAAATTTGTAAAGCATTTTTCTTTCAGTGAGAACATTGAATACGATCGTGTCTACTATTCATGATGCGGTCTATTTAAACAAAACAGTTGTTCATTTAGGATTCTAAAGCTCTAAAGGACTCTAAACAATTTTTATACATTATATACATATTAAAATCAAAGAAATATTTAGGAGACAGTAATTAATTCATAAAGGTACAAATAATTTTCATAAATTTTATGTAATCACAATCTAATCTCAACACAGATACAAAGAACCCTCCACTAACCAAATCTTCATTTTTTTTTTCAGGTACCATGCAGAAGCTTTAAACCAAGAAGAGAAATACGCTAGACTGGAAAAATTGTTGCATCCATCACAAACTGGAGACAAAAAAATCCTAATCACCATAAATTACAATCGATACTTTGCGGATAGGAAGCCGAAGACGGGGATGAAGAATACAAAGTCGAGAAGGAATCAGACGATATTTAGTTTGGCCTCGTAAATATTCCCTTGAAGCAGGCATATTAGCAAGCGGTACGTTCTTGGCAAGAAGCCGCTGCTAGTGACAGGGCATTCATATTAGCGAACAACCGCACGTTGTCCGCTCTTTCTCTTCAAGTAATGGAAACGGTACACGAACTCTGCCGTCCTCTCGAGCGAACCAAGTGGAAGGCTGCTGATTGGTAATCGTTAATTACGCCCGTAACTTCCTCCAGAGGAACTTCTATTTCGACAGTTTTTAAAATATCGGCACTTTTCGCCGGCGATAGGGCCTCGAGGAGGCGGGGGTTGAAAATGGTGGATCCAAGAGAGAAAGTGGAGTCGAGAGAGGATATCGTGGACAAGAACGTATTGATCGAGTTATAGTCTTTGGGGTCTCGAGCCTCTGTCGCGAGGGAGCCAATGAGAGATCTCGAGGGTGAATTTAGAGCAAGAATGGCGACTGATGGTTTCTATCGAAACGAACCCCTTTACGCACTGGGACAGAACCGTAAGAAGTAAAGAACATATTTTTAATTTGCTATTATTTGCACTTAAAATATTGGAAACTCGTCCACCATTGTGTCTCTAGTGTTGAATACTTAGCTGCTCTTTGCTCTTTCTTACATCTGATATTTTATATTTTTATGAGAAGGTCAATAGATCCAATAAGACCTGCTTTAATAAATTCATTGATTCAGAATTCGAAATTGACTATCTATTACAGTTAACAAATAATAATGTTTGATTATCAAAAAAATATATTATATACAGAGTATTATAAAAAAATATGAGAAGCAATAAATAATTTTTATTAGCTTTAACGTTGCTTATTTTAGATTTGAAATTTTTATTTTGACTTTTTTCTTGGGATTCTACGCCATCGTGTATCGTGGAAGCGTACACGAGAACAGGTGAATACCTTAATCGAGTTGAATTGTTGCGCCACCCTTTTCCTGAGAAAATGGATGCTAAATTAATGGACAACCCCATTTAGAATCAACGTAAAAGTTTTGATCGGTCGATTTCCTAGATTTCAACGTAACTCACGGTGACAACGAAGCAAGCAAAATTGAAATAACATGAACTCGGGTTCCCGTTTCGGAGAGCAAGTTTAATTGCAAAAGTAGGGATCAAAGTTTTTCAACGGTTAGTAATTAGATGTTTCGATAAAGTTTCAACGTTTCACACTGCGGATGATCAAAGTGCTCAGCTGAATTCTAAACGACTCCATTCTTCGTAACGAAAGACGATTATCTGGGATCTCCTTGTTCTCCTCTCTAACACGTTCCATTTAAAGACTGGAAAATTAACATTTCAGGAAAAGAATTGCTAATGATGATTATCTGAAGCTTCAAAAATTTTGATTACATTTGATCTTTCAATATTTTTCATGTGGTGTCATTGTAATTGACAAGAAATAATAATGTTTGATTAATACCACTAATTGATTCTTTTGAATTTCGAGTCAAAAATAAATTAGAAATTACTAGAAAAGAAATGTTAATTGTTTAGTAATGCTCTTGTGCTGTTAATATAATTAACATATAATACAACAATTGATTAATTACTACTCAAGAATTTTAACATTCCAATTGATTCTCCAAATCATCAACCTAGAAATAAAAAAAATCACCAGTAAAAATATTCCAAATTGAAAAGAAACCACCAGTAGAAAAGGAAATTGAATAATCGCAGAAAAAAGAAGTAATAAAAAGTAGAGCTACGTTCTCCATCGATCAGCCGTATCCTCTCGACACCTACCGCCCATCGAAACCATCAGAATTGCCAATAATAGCCGAGAATAAGGAGGAGAAAAGAGATAACTATCCGATAGAAAAAGGGCAAAAGGAAATAGGAAAGGGTGACGGTAATTTCCAAGCGATCGCCGTTGAACAGAAGAAGCGATACGTCCTCCATTACTCGGCTGGCTCCATAAATCACAGTCGGCCTCCATCGTCCCGATAGAATTCCCCATAATTCGTGAATTATTCGCGAAGAGGAGAGCGCGGTTACGAGGTACGCGTATACGGCCCCATAAGATCCGGCCTGAGGGAGGAAACGGCGAGGCGGAGGAGCAGGCTGCAGGACATTAAGGGTAACAAATGAGGCTGGCTGGTCCTCCCGCAGGACTCTCTTCCGACTGAGGTGGCGGGAATGAAAATAAGTGTACCTCGCTCCTAGCTACCAGCTTTTTTCTTCATTTCCTCTCCCCTTGACCCTCTCTTTCGCTCCGCTTCTTCTAGCCGACCTCACTTTTCCAACGTCGCATTATTCTCCGACCCACCCCCCGTCTAACCCTCTCTGGTTGACTCGGTTTTTAAAGCGTGCTACGCTTACGACGAGAAAGCGCGACGGAGATTTAGCGCGCGAGGTAGCGAAGCGTGCACCCGAGGCGGCTCAAGTTCTCCGAGCGCGCGTTTCCTAAGCGCCGAACCGAGGTGGTTGCACGCCAGTCGACGGCCGTTGTTACACACGCTGCATACACCGGCTTCCGACCTCTCAACCTCGAGGAAATATTTAGCAGTTAGCCGGGGATTAAGGAATGCGTTAATTACGAAATACTGCTGCTTCGCTCTATTAAGCGGAAATGTAATTTCGCGACCGGCCACGCGAAACCACGCCTACGCTTAATTGCTCAAGGCCGATCCTTTAATCTCGGTCTTGATTAATTGAGACCTGGAGTACCCGCGAGTATTTCGCGCCAACGGGCACCCGTGACGTACGCACGCCGGAGATTGTGAAGGAGTCGCGAGTTCTGATGGAGTTTTATTGTCCACGTTAATTGATTCCGCACAACACTCGGCCAACATTTATGAGTGCTTCTGTTTGTTTGCTTTTACGTTTAGATTTTAGGTACCGCTGGATGGAACGAGTAATTGGCTGCGAATCATTGCTGATTTTGTTTGCGCGATACAATGTGAGTTTCGTTTGGGAATTATACCAGGTGAAAAATTTCGGACAATCTAACTTATTCTTTTGTTCTTTTTAAGGCTTATAATTGGATCTATTTAGAGTCATGTTAAATAAACTAAGCGACAAATTTATTTTCATGTAACAAGATTTATATTTGAAGCTTCAAAGAAGTAATAATTGTGAAGTAATTATAAATATAAATAACGTGTATTAAAATTTTCATAGATATGTAAGTAAGATAGTAGATTTATATTAATTTATTAGGTGCATAAATTAATTCGGCGTCTTTTCTTTTAACCTTCGGATGGCGAATGCTATAGATTCTTTATTTCATATTATTTTATATTGTTCCTTTAAAAACTATTCTTCTAACATACATCAAAATAATTATTAACACTTATATATAATTAACACTTTTCAAGTCCACAAAAACGCAGGAAAATATTCAAATGTAATATAGTGATTAAGAAAACGTAACGCTAAAGGCATCGAATTAATTTGCACATGTTTTAATCTTAATTTATGTATATTCTTGAAATTGCAAATTAAAAATTGCAGTTCATAGGGGATTAAAAACGAATGTTATAACAAATGAATAATCAAAGAGGATAAAAGTGTCTGAAGGAAAATTGCTGGAAAAATGTTTCTCCGATTATTAGGGTGGATCAAGAAGTCGGCTAACTGCAAAGAGCATTGTAGCTGGTTTTTTCATTATTATGCGAAAACGGGGCACGCTGGTGGACGCGTGGCCGGCTTTTGTTGATTGGACGAAGCGTGCCAGCGTTTGGTCCGTTCGCGTGCATGCGCGAGCCGCATCCTGCCATGCCTGCCGCATGTACAAGTGTAAAAGAAACAAAACGAGCAAACCGGCCAACACGAGCCCCGTGTACCGAACGATGCGATTGATGCAATACAAGCAAACTATCGAGAGGAATGAATTTGTGTCGACGGTCCTGCGAAAGAATGCCACAGGTTGACGCCAGGAAAATCGGTCTCGCGGTCTCCATGCTCGATACAGAGACCTCCATTCCGGTATATCCGTGTAACTCGTGTAATTGGAACAATCATTGATATTTGTATTGAGTTAATATTTTTGTATTCAAGTTAAAATAATTGTAGTAATTGATTTAATTAATTTAATGAGTTAACAAGTCGTTTTGAGAACATTCCATTTTGATGTGTAATTAAAGCAATTATTGTAATTCGTATTAAGTTAATGATTCATTTTGAAATTATGCATTCGTCGTGTATAAGTGAAGAAATTTTATTAATTCGTGTTGTGTTAATAAGTCGTCGTGGATATATTTAATTTAATAATTTGGAAGATATTTAATTCTGCTATGTAATTGACAATTATTGTAATGCGTATTAAGTTAATAATTTCTCTTGAAGATATTCAATTGTAATGTGTAATTTAAACAATTATTGTAATTCGTATTAAGTTAACATTCGTCGCAAAGTTACTGTAATTAAAGCAATTGTAATAATTCGTGTTTTTACACACCATAAAAAGCAAACACCCCGACAATGTATGTATTAATAACAAAAAATTAATCACGTTAATAATCATTAATATAGAAATCCTCATTCTTTAACACAAAATATGTCACTTATTTCACAAAACTGTTCAAATTTCAATATTTCTAATGAAAAATTTTTCTTTATGCTTGGAAAACGAGAAATAAATGTATATTCATGAAATATATACAATATAGAAAATTGAAAGCTTTAATTCTTCCAAGAGAACAGATTTAATCACTGCTGCGTTTCATTTGCTACGAAAGAATGCTCTGCTTTTTCATACCAGTTTATAATCCAAAAATCCTGATTCCACTGAACGATCATACATATCATACATGTTTTGTAACTTTCTGAAATATCATAAAAAAAGAAAATGAAGGTAAAATCACTTAGTAAAAACGAATCAATTTTCTCCTCAGAAATGCAGGAGGCTTCATCATTTGTGGGTACATTGCGGGAACCCAATTTAAATTATTAAGTTTGTAAATGTTTTCATATATTATCGTGTATGATCGGATGTAATTGAATTTCGAGTGTCGAATCGAGTTGTGGTCCCGAAATTAGGATACCCAGACAAATTTCAAAGTGCCACTCGAATCCGAAAAAAATTCCCCGCCTGAGCCCAATCCGAATTTAGGGTACCCACATTCCATTCAGTGTTGATTTCAACTTTGTTAAAATTGAGTACCGAGCGGTTGAAGGAAATCGAACAAGCCTATCAATTAATTCCGAAAATGAATTGATACAAGCATAAACACTCGTGCATCGTGGATCCGCTTATAATCCGAACGCGGTTGCGGTGCAACAAATAAAACGCGTCAAATTGATCGCCACGGAATTTAAATTGCTCTCATTACGCCACTATTATGCTCTCGAATTTTATTATCCCGAAATGAAATCGTCGTTTAACCCTTTCGTTATGTATGACCTATATACATACAGGATATTTAAGGATGGGTAAAGAATTTAAAAATTTCAAGAGGAGTAGTTGAGCGAATATTTTTTATTAAACCACCTTTGAATACAAGAGTGTACAAGAAATAAAGAATCACGCAGGAGAGATTTGTATAATCAATCGTATATAGTCGATAAATCGAGGGCGAGTAATCCGTGCCGCAAAAAATAAACTATGGCCGATTAGTCGACGCCAGTCGACGCGGGCTGGCGCGATACGAAATTCCTCACACACGCGTCGGATTCTCGGCCTGAATCCTCCACCCTACGTTTGTCCGTCTCCCCTCTGCTCGTTCGGATCGCTCCACCTCGTCCTCCGTCGCTCCCTTGCAAAACAAATTCGCGGCCATTTCTCTGTTCCGTGGGCCGCATATATATATTCCGCGTTCCTACTCCGCGGAAGCTAAGCGCGTGTTCCGCGCGGCGAAAAAGGCGCCGGGAGGCAGCGGTCGGTCGGTTTGCTTTCTGGACGCTACGTTGGTCGGCTGGGTGGTTGCACGGGAGGGTGGTTGGAAGGGCGGCTATGTGCCGAGGGGGTGGGTATAGGTGGTGGTCCAGTGGCATGGGTTCGTTGGATGTAGCACGCTCGGCTCCAGGGGTTCGCCGGCAATTTTTTTTCCTCGAGTTTAGCAAGGGAAATGACCTACGATATATTTCTAAGGGGTTTTTGCTGGTTGGTAAGCGGATGAGACGCCGTTATCCACCTACCGGAGGACCAGCCGTTCGCTCTAGGGGTTACCGGACAATTTGCATTTCTCAGCCATTAATCTAACCTTCGTACAATTCCTTCTTTTTTTTTTGTGGACAGCCTGACTGCCCCTTGCGTTCGGCTTGTCTGGTTTCCTTGTCCTCCTAGCAGGTACCACCGCTATTCGAGGCTACGGAAGTTCTGCTGGGATGCTTGCGGTTCGGGAGCAAGAGAAATTGAGATGTTCCGGTGAAGATGTCTTCTACTTTATCGCTCCTTTCATCTTGTTCATGAGCGAATAGCATCTACGAAATTTCTTATCATATTTAAAAATCCCATTAGCTGAACAATCTTAATCCCCTTTCCATACCCCCAATCTTTAATAATTAGTCGCTGAAACGAGTCGGTTCGTTAACCAACCAGTAAAATGAATAATGAACTTATTTCAACATAATTAAGTATGCGTAGTTTTCTTTCGATATCGAAAGCGAATGGCGTCAGGAGTGGGGGCTCCAGACGCCCGTGATCGCTGACTACGAGGCCGACACCGGGTGCGACCCCCGAGGTTGGCCACATGCTCGGTACCAGCCGAGGGCTTCGGAGTGATTATACGTCAGGTCTCGGATCTCTTCTTTAGCGCGAGTGTCGGTCGCCGTGGGGTTTTAGTCAGTAGGAATCTGACACTCCCCCGCCGCCTTCCCCCAGGGGACGGTGGGGGGTCTTATGCAAGATTTCCCCACGTTAAAAAAAAAAAAAAAAAATTATTACATCCCTGCATTCCTTACATTCCTTCATCTCTAACATCCATACATCCCTTACATCCCGGCATTTCTTACATCCACACATTCTTGACACCTCTCTATTCTTTACATCCACACATTCTTTACACCTCTCCATTCTTTACATTCACACATTCTTTACACATCTCCATTCCTTACACCCACACATTCTTTACACATCTCCATCCCTTACATCCACACATTCCTTACATCCACACATTCTTTACACCTCTCCATTCCTTACATCCACACATTCTTTACACCTCTCCATTCCTTACATCCACACATTGTTTACACCTCTCCATTCCTTACATCCACACATTCTTTACACCTCTCCATTCCTTACATCCCTGCAGCCCTTATATCCCTGTATCCCTTAATTTTAAAAATTCCAAAATTATCCCAAATTGTATCTTTTAAGCCCAAAATTTCTGCAAAATTTAGTTCCTTTTTCTACCGCTAGATGGCGCTGATTCAACGTCGAAAATTTAGTTCACATTTTTGCCGCTAGAGGGCCAAAATTTCGGCAAGCTTTAGTTCCTTTTTCCAAAACCAGAGGGCGCTGATTCGACATCGAAAATTTAGTTCACATTTTTGCCGCTAGAGGGCCAAAATTTCTGCGAGCTTTAGTTCCTTTTTCCAAAACCAGAGGGCGCTGATTCGACATCGAAAATTTAGTTCACATTTTTGCCGCTAGAGGGCCAAAATTCCTGCAAGCTTTAGTTCCTTTTTCCAAAACCAGAGGGCGCTGATTCGACATCGAAAATTTAGTTCACATTTTTGCCGCTAGAGGGCCAAAAATTGTGCAAGCTTTAGTTCCTTTTTTCGAAATCAGATGGCGCTGATTCGACGTCGAAAATTTAGTTCAAATTTTTGCCGCTAGAGGGCTCAAAAGTTATGTCTGGGATGTCTGGGTTTCAGAAATGTAACGGATACAGTGCTGTAAGGGATGCAGAGATAGCGGGATGTAAGGAATGGAGAGATGTAAGGGATGCAAAGATAGCGGGATGTAATGAATGGAGAGATGTAAAGAATGTGTGGATATAAGGAATGCAAGGATGTGAGGAATGCAGAGATGTAAGGGATGCAGAGATGTAAGGGATGCAAAGATAGCGAGATGTAATGAATGGAGAGATGTAAAGAATATGTGGATGTAAGGAATGCAGGGATGTGAGGGATACAGAGATGTAAAGAATACAGAAATATAAGGGTTGCCGGGATGTAAGGAATGCAGGGATGTGAGAGATACAGAGATGTAAAGGATACAGAAATAGAAGGGTTGCCGGGATGTAAAGAATGCAAAGATGTAAGAGATGCGGGTATGTAAGCGATACAGGCATGTAAGGAATACAGAGATGTAAGGGTTAGAGAGACAAAAGGAAAGGAGGAAATCGAGTTAGAAGGTGGTACTTACGTGGCGATTATGATGGCGACGGTGGACGTTATGGTGAATGAGAAATGAACGTGTCTTTAGCCATTCAGATACCATTTTTCAGCTGTTTTATTTGGCAAGCACATAGCCTTAATCTAGTTGTATAACTCGCAAGAATGATCTTCGATTAAAAATCTACGAAAAACCACAATGGTCCGTTTAAGTAGAGGCACTGAAGGAGAGAGAGAATCGATACAACCGAACGGATAATTATGCGGAAAGAAATTATATTAAACGAAAAGCATCCATCACCTACGGTTATTATAATATCGATTTTGCATTAATGATTCATTAAATCATTTTGACCGGGCCGAAGGGAGTGCATAAAGGCAAAGCCAGCCTCCATTAAGTAAGCAATTTTCATTGACTCGCTCGAAACCGACGAAACGTCAACCCTCGGTGAACACCATGTCGATCTCTGAACGATTTAAGTATACTTCCGGTTTACTAGGTAGAAGACATTGATCG